AACGCTATAAGAATGTGGGTGCAATATGGCACAATTTTATGTGACTCAACAAAGAGAAAAAAAGTAGGATTGTATGTTCATATAGACGACAATACAAAAAGGAACCAACACTCCATTACCATTCATTGTCTAATCATTGCCTTTGCTACGCAAAGCGATACATCTTAAAAAGCAGAAAGAGTTCATATTCAGAAAATTCCCAATGATGCCAAAGTTATACATCATATACATATCAATCGGCATGGCATTTATATTACGGTCCAATATGGTTACATTTGCTTAGTTATGGTTACCATTTAACTCTTCTGCACAGTTGTGTAATGTTTTAACCATTCTTAGCCATTGTCACAATCAGCAGCAATTTTACATTGTAATAGTTGATGACATTTATCTTTTCTTGATACAATCGCGATATGTATAGAGATATAATTTCATTTTTGTAAAGCTCGTGTACTGCATTGCTGTCAATTTGGAGAAATTTGAAGAAAGTGACCCTGATAAGACGTTCCCATGAATAGAACATTTCCATAATCTGAACAATTTTATTAGTTTTTGTGGGCAATGATTGTAGATAATTATCGTTTATTTTACAGTACATATTTCCCCCCTACATGTCACGTATCATACAAAAATTCTTCAGAACGATTGATGCATCTGCAGTGCAATTCAATATGGCCCCTTATTGAGATGCTTTTCAAAAAGCCATCAATTACTATGATGGTATCTCATTAAATAAAGAACAAAGCATTTTTATGACTCCAAAACAAACTAATGAAGTACATTTTTGTCTTTCTATATTGCATACTACATGTTATGCAGCACCTAGCATATACAAACCTCTAACTCACATTTTCAATTTGTCTCTCTCTACTAGCCACATACCTGCAGACTGGAAGACAGCAAGGGTCACACCTATACATAAAGGGGGGAAGACAACAGATCCTAATAATTATAGGCCCATTTCTGTACTACCTGTTATTATGAAGGCTTTTGAACGAGAAGTACACACACAGTTCCTTGAATATTTACACCAAAACAGTATTCTGTCCACCCAACAGTCTGGTTTTAGAAAAGGGCACTCTACAGAATCAACCCTATTAGACGCTAAAGACTATATACTACATAACATGGATAGGGGTAGTCTGGTGGGAGTGGTATATCTGGACTTTTAAGAAGGCTTTTGACACTGTTGACCACAAACTACTGTTAACCAAACTGTCCTGGATGGGAGTGCAAGGTGCTGAATTCCATTGGTTTGCAAACTACCTGTCAGGGAGACAACAAGTTGTCTCTTTGAACGGGTGCACATCAGAATACCTACCTGTCACTCTAGGTGTTCCCCAAGGGTCTATACTAGGCCCTTTGCTGTTCAATATATTTATAAATGACTTACCGGATATTGTCACTGCATGTAAAGTCTGTCTGTATGCTGATGATACAGCAATTTTCTGTGCCAGCAACAATGCAAAACACATCGAACAAACTCTCAACTCTGAACTTACTGGTCTAGCTAGGTGGTTCCAATCAAACCGTTTAACGCTAAACATATCCAAAACTAAATGGATGCTATTTGGTACTGCCAATAGATTAAAAACTTGCACCTTCTCTGAAACTTTGCATTGACCAGGAGATCATAGAGAG